CAAACAAAAATGAAACACACACACACACACACACACACACACACTCTGTTCTCCCCATCCCTAGGTCCTAACAACAAACTTCTTTATCAGAGGTTCATTGTCAATCAATTAGCTGAGGCAGCAGGGGTCTGTGAGGTGGGGGCCCCAGGAAAACAATGGGCTGCCCTGTTGTATTACTATTTAATCACTTTTGCTAAATAAATAGAGCAGCCCTGAGGTGCTGTCATGTCAAGGGAATTTATAACAAAAAAACTTTATTTTTCATTGGTCATTACTTTTTTTTCCCTTCAGGGCAAAAGAGGGTTATTACTGTAGCTTTAAGTTCCATCTTTGTGTTTCTTGCCTTTGATTCCCACTCGGACCCTGCCACTTTCTGGCACTAATTTGTCAGGCTGAACAAAGAGGGGATTTGTACCTCCTGTAAGGTCTCAATTAGGAATGGCTTCTGCTGTATTATGTGCCATTCAGAGAAGACACAATGCCAGTAATTACAGGAATTTGCACTAAATGGCTGAAGAATTCACAGCAAAACTTCTTCTCCCCCTTGGGCTTACCCCTCCCAGGGGCTGGAGGGGAAGAAAAAGGAAAGCAAAAGCTCTTAATGCCTGAGAGTTATAATTACCAACAGCAGTCCCAAGAGGTTAAACAGAGCCAAAGGAGTAAAACCATCAGAACCAATGTGAAAATGGTGCGGGGATCCCTGAGACTCACTGCTCCCTCACTTGTGGGACTTCAGTTCAGACTCAAGGACAGTGCCCCAGAATGCAAAACAGCCGTACAGCTCACACTTGCATCTCTCATCACACCTATAAACAAGTCCTTTGATTATAATACTCAATTGCTGGGAAATTACAGGAAAAACGTGTGTGTGTGCTAGTGCCAAGAAAACCATGTATCTGTGGAGTAAATAGGTAGCAACACATGTCAAATTCCTAAAGAAAACAGGGTTGCTGCCTTAATTTATACAGCATTTATAAATAACCTAATTTAGTACCATTTACAGGTACATACTTCATAAATATTTTAGTAAACTGCATAATAATTTGTTTTAGGCATTAATATTTTAACATTATAGATTCCCCACTGGCAAACATAATTTTGAATTTTAACCAATTTCACTAAAGAAACATATTGTTTTCTGCTGCAGAGGTGTCCCTTGAAAGCTATACTGAAGTATCCCTAAATTAACTGTTTTTCAGTACCATTCCCAGCAGCTGCTCCTCTGCTCAGGGTCAAACATTAAGTTCAACCTTTGTTTTTGTTTTGTTTTGAAACGGAGTCTCGCTATGTAGCCCAGGCTGGACCTAAACTTATGATCCTCCTACCTCTACCTTCTGAGTGCTGGGAGGCCAAAATCAGGAGGATGGCAGTTCCAGGCCAGCCCACGCAAAAATGAGACCCCATCTCCACCAGTTGCTGCACAGAGTGGTGTATACCTGTCATCACAGCTTTGGTGGATACATAAGTATAGGCTGGCCTGAGCAAAAAGGGAGACCCTATTTCTAAAATAACCAGAGCAAAGGGGCTGGAGGTATGGCTCAAGTAGTAGAGTACCTCCTAGCATATGGGAAAACCTGAATTCAAACTCTAGTACTGCCAAAAAAAAGAAAAAAAAAAAAAGATCAAAGATCTAAATTTCATGTAGTTCTACCCTACACCACCTCTTGTAGTTCTCTAATCTGATATGTGGACTTCACTTCTGTGGCTCTTGTGACAGTCACCGATATGATTATTTGATAAGCAACTTGTTCTTTCTAGGTGGATGCAGTGTCATAAGGGTACGAACCACAAACTTTTCTGAATTTTAAAGGCCCTGGGGGCAGGCATGACCATGGTAAATTCCAGGAACAGCAAGACTACAGTGGCAGGCCATACAGCATTGGCAGCCATGGAGCTGGAGGGGAAGTCATGAAACACATAATCAAATATAACTATGAGAAGTTCAAGCACATGCTAAGAAATACACAGTTATATATCTGCATACATTTTCAAGACCCATAACCTCAAGCATTTTTAGATGGTCATGCTACATTTTTTTCTATAGGGACTCTTTAAATTTTAAAGGAATACAGAAATTTCCTCACTTAGAGGAAGAATTTAGTGAAATAAGGCCAATTGCACTATTTTTTAAATCTAAAAGCCAACACTTGTGGCTCCTTGAATAGCAACTGAATGACATCACAATAAAGAACTATTCTGTGCAATCTTCCATTTTTAAAGTTTATTCATCCAAAATACTTAAAGGGAGAGGAACTAAATTGACATAAAAACTTACAGTCTAAAGAGACACACTAAAAAGTTATGAAATACTGTGAATGTGCTTCTTCTCAAGATAATACATAAAGCTTAAGCTCCCTTAAAACATACACTGGATTTTTTGACATTTTGGAAGGTAAACATGCTATGCAACCAGACTTTTTACTGAATGTGTGTTTTTATGAGAATGCAAAGTTAGACAATATACAAAACACAGGGCAGCTGATTTAAATTAACTTTGTGAGAAACATAGATCAATTTTTAAAGTTCCTTCTGCTATAATAATCTGTGATATAATGAACAGCCTCCCAAGTAATTTAAAAAACATTCAGAAGTTTGCTTGACAAATTTTTGCCTTTTTGTTTTGAGACTCTGCCCCCTGCAGGAGATAAAGTATTCCTACCTCAGGCAGGAACACAATATTCCATGTAGCACTTTCTGATGGAAGAGAGAACTTTGAAATGAAATAGATTTGGGTTTGCCAGGGAATATGCCATACTAGACAAATTAGATTTCTTCCTACCCTAAATTAGAAAATTACCTGAGCCCAAGTAGAGCTCTAAGCAAAAAGCATGAAAGTAAAAGTTGAGCAGAACAATGATTTTCAGACTTGTTACACATAACCCCTGAATTCCTTATATTCCCCTCCAACCCGTGGTCCTCCAACCAGCCAAATTTAGTAAGCATCACATTTAGATAGCAAAGAGAGGCATCCTATCACATGGTACCTAAAGTAGCTACCAGAAATTTCTATTTCTGCCCATTATATAATACTTTTCCTCTTCTCTTCTATTTAGCTTTCTTCTCCCTGCCTCTTCTCACCTCTCTTTATCTTACTCCTATTTTCATTTCTCTAGCTGTTGGATGCAGTGGGCATGTTCTACCTAACATTTCTTCTTCTTTAGAGTGCAAAGAACACTTCAATGCAGTACAGAACACAGGCAATGCACACTTGGTGAATTAGGTGACAACTAGGTTGCTAAACTTATATAGTGCTTGAGGCTTATCTTCATTCTTTTACTGTGAAATTTCTTTTTAAAATATTTATTATTATTATTATTGTGCTGGGGGTACACTGTGGCATTTATAAAAGTTCTTACAATATATCACAGTTGAATTCTACTGTGAAATTTCTTGATTCAGATAGCCCCAGTGACTACCTTGAGAACTATGTTGATCTATTCTCCCTCATTCCAATAACACAATAGAGATGTTGATCCTATCAGACAATCTAATGATACAGAGTGCATCATATTCCAGGCTGTCCATAGAGTAAGCACTTAGTAAATTATCACTGAATGCCTAAACTTTGAAATATATGTAGTAGTATAAAACACTGAAATGTTAGTATCTTTTTAAATTGTACAAAAACTAGTGTCTCTCATTTCAAAACCATTTTTCAAAAGAATCTGGCTGACTTGACATAAGGTCTGTCATAACTGCAAGTAGATGCACATAACCTAGGATATAACCTATACTATAACCTATATTATATAGAACCTAGAATGACTTCTTAACTGGCTCAGTGATTCTCATCTATCCAGTCCATCTTCTGTAATTCTACTTCACAAAGTCACTGAGGCCACTGAGGCGGAGCAAAGATGATCCACTTAATTCCACCCCCCATTTAAGTAGATTATATGTCAATAGAAAAATCATCATAACTAACCTGAATTTAAAATGTGGATTTTTATTTTCCCCCCACGATTTGGCTTTTCTCAATGCAGGAATAAGAACAAAATTAAAATTTGTTCTTGGCAAGTGATGAGTTTCTTCTTTAGTTTTAAACAATGTACTTAAGTCCAACAGACCTGAATTAAAAACTTCCCAGCCAGGCTTCAGATTAAAGCTACTAGATAAATTTATTGTCACAACCTATGGAATTTAGAGAGAGGGAAATAATTTGTATTTAGTTGACAGTAGAAATATAGATCTGGTTTAGTGATGCTTTCTCTTTTACGTTTTTCTTTCTATTTTACTGCTTGGAAGAAGGTAGAAGAACAGGGAATTGAAGAAAAAAAGCAGTAATAAGGTTTTAAGAGTTCCATTTTGGCCTTACATTGCAGTCCCAGAAACCCAAGGTTTCAACTGGATGAGGCACAACCTCATGACTCGGAGTCATCTGCTGAATAATCACCTACCCTGCTTTTAGTTATCTCCATGTTTTCTTTTGGGGTGGGGGGCAGTACTAAGGATTGAACTCAAGGCTTCATGTTTGCTAGGCAAGCATGCTACTACTTGAGTCATGCCCCAAGACCTCATCTTCACATTTTCTGCCAAGGCTGACTTTCTAGATTTCACATTACAAGGATTTGACAAGGTCACCACAAGTATGGACATTTGCCTTGCCTAAGGTGTGTTAGTCTGCTTTGGGCTTGAATGTCTCTCATGAAATAATCTGTGACATCCACAGTCAAAGTTACTTTTATTCAAAGAAGCAGAGGAAATGGACTCAGGGTTGACTCAGGAGGACTCAGTCTGGTTAGGCCTTGGCTAAGTCATTTTGATTCAATGGAGTGCATTGTAGCTACTTCTAATTAGTTACTTTACCAACACAGTATGAGGATGAGTAGATTTTTTTTTAAATATAGCAAACTTCTTGGAGGAGAGATGCTTTTTATAAATAGAGATGCACTTTTGAAAAAAAAAACCACGTCTAATTGAGAAAGTGCTAAAAGGGAATTCAGATTATGAGATTCAGGATTGCTTGCTAATGAACGTTAGGTTAAAATTTTACCCCATACCTGCACATTTGAAACTCTGAGCAGTGAGTCCTCGTTCCAAAGACAAAGTTGTCAGAATGCTCAGGAAACTGGTGGTCACCGACTGACGTTTGTTCTTCCTGAGCTCATGCCCGCCCATCTGATCCTTGGGTTTATTCCTCAGTGTGACTTGCAGGTTTTGCTCTGAACTTCTTTCTGCATTGGCAGCTGACTTCAGAACCTCCATCCATTCCTGAGCCCTCTGCCGGGTCTCAGCTCGGAGGCGGAGGACATCTTGGGGGAAAATAACCTGAAAGCAAGAATCACAGCCATCTAGATTGTCTATCTGGACTGCCAGGCACACATCTATGTTGTAGCTCAAGAGTGGGTCATCATCTAGCTTGCCAGGGTGAAAAGCCATAAGACAGGCCTTGCTCAGCACAAATGTAAATGCCTTCCAGTTGTTTTGGACAGTTAGTCTATAGAGTGTTCCTGATTTGATGATGTTTTGGTATTGTTTGGGGCTATCTAAGACAGGGGATGGTGGCAGCAGTCCACTGGATTTTTTCTGTAAACAATGGTTCTGGGTACAATCAACATGATGACGAAGCCCTGGTGAATTTGCCAATTCATCCTGTCGTGCCATGTAACCAGGCACAGTGGCATGCACGACTTCCCAAAGCTTCTGCCCCCAGTCCAAAGCCTCCCATGGTGACTCTGCCTTTATCTGTAACTGAGTGTTATCACAGAGAACGGTATCCACCACTGTGGCTTCAAGATTGCCCAAAACAGATATACTCTGGAAGTGTGAAAGCTGATACGTGGCATACAGGTTTTGATTTCCACTGCTGTCGAGGCTGTAGAAGTATAAATTGTAGGGTGAGAGTTCTGCGTAACAGCTTTGCCAGTAACTGTCATGGTTCTTCCTAATTTCCAGGTATCCCTTCTTCAGAATGTTTGGGAATGTTTGCTTGTGTTCTGGAAACAAAGAAAAAAAAAAGAGGCAGAGTAATAATTTGTTATGAGAAGATGGATGCATGAATCCAAACAGATAAGAGACTGACATCTTTCTGGTCCAAACTAAACAAAGTAGAAACAGTAAAATTCCAGGATGGTACCTAATTGGAAAGATATAACCAGGGAAAAAATTTCTCATCTCAAAACTGAACAAGGGGGGTGCTTATGCAAGAATAAGTACAGAGTGTGCAATGTCACAGTAAATAACTGTGAACTAAATGACTAAACAGTAAATAACTAAACAGTAGAATAACTGTGACTAGGTAAATCCTATGGGTATAGGGCTCAATCACATTTTGCCAGGATTCTTTGCTTTCTAGGTAAGTTCTACAGAGTACCAAATACAGGAGAGAGAACTCTTCTTCTGCCACATGACGTAATTCCCTGCTGATACTCCTATCTTTCCTTAGGTTGGTGAAGCCAGAGAGGGTGAATGGAAAACAAAGAGCATGAAATGTGCTGCTTAGAAACACGGGATTCTCAAACATGCCCATCAGCCCTCAAGGCCAGTTCATGGGCTTTCTACCTAGTACCCATCTCTAGCCTTGCTCCCACTAGCTCAATTTTAGATATGCTCGATGGTAAGTGTGCTTATGTTGTTCCCTTGGCTTGCACTGGTCCCTCCCACTGCTTCAACCAGGAACTGCACACTTACCTTCTTCCAGAAAGAGAGTCTGTCCAGACTTCCTCCAACATTCCCCATCTCACCTACACACACATATTCCCTGGGCTAGTATCAGGTATCCCTATTACATTATTCTTCTATCATGGACTCTTATTAGAGTGCATTAATAATAGCTCATTTAAAGATCCAAATAAAACAAATTTTAAAGTTTGTTTAAAAAAAGTTCCATCTTCCCTAGTAGACAGTAAACTCTTTCCATATTTATATCACAACATGCTATACAATACCTGGCACATAGTAGGTGCTTAATAAATACTAGTTAAATTAGAAATAAAGCTCCTAGCATAATGCTCAGCACATGGTAGGTATAATTCCCTTCTCTTCTTCTTGGTTTCACATGTTTATCTAGTTATGTCATCTTTAATCCATGATTAAAGACTATAATAAAGATTAAAGACACTATATACCAGTTTAGTACTTTAATAAAAGAGGTCTGTCACTGAGAGATGTCCAATACCTTTTTCTTTCTTTCTTTCTTTTCTTCTTCTTTTTTTTTTTTTTGAGATAGAATCTTGCTATGTGGTCCTGGCTGGCCTAGAACTCTGGATTTCCTGCTCTGCCTCCTGAGTGCTTGGAGTGCAGTTATGAATCACCGTGCCCAACCTCCTGAGACTTTCATCTGACATGAACGAGACATCCATGCAAGAGTAAGTACTCTTCCTGGTAGAGATTTTAATTTCTGAGATGTGTCTCCATTGCTTGGCTGACACACACTGGAGATGGTCATAAACGAATCAAGTCATCCCTAAAGAAATCAGAGCATACTCCTGGAGGGTATGACTTCTACTTTTGGCTAAAGAAAGAGTAGCATTTAGATCTTAAAACAGAAAACCAAAAAAGAAAAAGAGAGAAATGAGGCAGAGAAAGACCTTTTTAACCTGCTTATACATCTCTGGTCCTGGCGCTCATTAGTATCTCTGTGGCAACTCAAAAGTTATGAATTTCCTGCAACCCACACTAATCCCTTTGCAGAAAGAGATAATGGATGCCTATTCTCAGGTTATCTTTCTCTTCTGACTGCTGTAACGGAGGCAGCACTGTTAGAGATACTGCTGCCGCCTCCCCTCCTCTCATTTCCATCAGGCGTTGATGATAGTTCAGCCTTCTTCATAATGAGACTCATGACCATATGTCCCTCTATCCCTGTCCCTCCTGCCACCCAGCCCCTCAGCTACAAGTTCCTGAGTAATGTAAAAACCACCTCTCGTGGTTTTAGCCACAAACTGTCATCTCCTCTTTCCACTTCTCTGGGAGCTCTTCATGACCATTACCATGAATTAGAATTCAACTTTAATTAAATCCCAACTCAGCAGTAAAGCTGACCAAAACCTCCCTTCTCTCTGACTTCATAAGTTAGGATGGTAGATTACAGCTTGGGTGGAAGGGATAAGGCCTCCCAGGGAATCTCCAAAGAACTAAGGCTCCAAAACAGTGTTCTCACTCAATAAGGAGTATTTCTTATCTCTGTTCCCCCACTTCTGCTTCATGGGAAACAGTCTATTCTATTAGAATTCTATTATATTCTAATAGAATATTAATATTCTATTAGATGCTGCAGTTTGTAGAGGAATTTCTTGAAAAATATGAATCAAGAAGAAAACAGTAAAGTAAATCAGGAAACATTCTCAGGGATTCCTATTCCTATCACAAATGTGTGTGGGGAGAACGGTTTATAACACACATTCTTAATATTTCCTTTGTGAAGGATTAATTATCTTTAATTTCAGTTTCTCATCTCTAGCAACTGAAACTTTCTATTGGATATGAAGTTTATTTTTAGTATTTTTGCTATTAACAAATCAGAAACCATATATTTAAATCTAAACTTTAGTTAATTTGCCATAGTTCAAAGTTTTGTTTCCCCAGGACATATTTTAACTCAATTAACCCCATACATATTCTTTCAAAGTACTCAATTTTACAAATTAATAATATAACTCAGTCTTAACTAATGTAAGTGATTCAGATAGGATCACTATTAAGGTTTTTACCACTTCCCCAGAGAAAATAGAAAAATATGATAAAAATAGATCACTGTAACTATAAATTTCATAGTGAAATGAGACAAAACAAACAAATACATCACCCCAAAACTCTCCATTTTCCTACTGGTTTCCATGTTGGCTAGTATAAAGACCTGGTTCAGTTCCTCTCAGCAAAGACCCCTTTCCCTTTTCACCTCATCCTAATAGGACCAGTGCAGTGATTTCAGGAAAATAATTGCTACTGACTGAAGAGGAAGAAAGGAACTTCCCTGTCTAGCACCTGTTTCACTTCTGTACTGCCAACCCACTACAGTTCCTCTTTTGGAGAAACTGATAGAGGAAATAATAATCAGTTCTCAAAAAAGTTTCCATTCTCATGGCTACCACCTTCACCAAGGTCTAGTCCTTCTCCCTCCTGGCCATCTCATGTACTGCTACCAGGCTAAGCTCTCTGGATCTCACAGCCCTTCCCATGTTCCTCCTCTAGTCAAAACTCTTCACAGGTTCCAGGGAGTCACATAGTTCATGTTCCTTAGTTTGACCTTGACGTTTCATTATGGAAAATTTTAAATACACTCAAAAGCATGTAGAAAAGTAAAATGAACACCATGCACTCAAAAAAACATCACATTTCTACCATTTTTGTTTCATCTTTCCCAACTCTCTCTAACTCTTGCTTTATATATATACATGTGTGTACATATATATATATATACACATATACATGTATATATACATACATGTATATATGTATATGAATACACACACACACACACACACATATATATATATATATATGTGTATCTTTTTTTCTGGAATGTTTGCAAGCAATTCACAGACATTTTATAATTTTACCTGTAAATACTTAAATACTTCAGGGTATATCTCTAACATATCAGAACTTTAAAATCTATTTTTTAAATAGATTTTCGCATACCCTCCAAATTAATAATTCCTTATATAATATCCAGTCTATGTTTAATTTGTTCAAATTATCTCAAAACATTTCTATAATGGTTTGATGGTTTATACACAGTGATTTGGTTGATGTCCTTTATATTTCTTTAAATCTAAAATAGTTCCCTCTTCCTTTTTTCAGGCCAAGTAATATTTATTTATTTGTTTGTTTTGGTGCTGGGGATTGAAGCCAGGGCCTCATACTTGGTAAGAAAATGCCTCACCACTGAGATAGACCCCCAGTCCCATGTATGGACTTATTGAAGAAATTGATTTATTCGTCCTGTAGAATCTTCCACATTCTATAGTTGGTCGAGTGTGTACTAATGGTATTGCTTAAATGTTCCTCCAGTTCCTGTGCTTTCTGTCAACTGCTACTTGGATCTCAAGATTCAGTTACTTTTCTACCTGACTGCTGTTTCTATTGCTCACCCCTCCCAATTGTCATGTATTTTCTATCACCGGTACCCCTGCCTAGATTTCTCTTCATGCTAGTCCACATGCTCCTTGCACTTGAGGACTCCTATGTCCTCTCACCTGTTATTGAAGCCTCTCTTCAGTCCCTCTACTTGAAAACAACTGTCCTCCTCTGTGCCTCCATGGCTCTATGTTAAGCCTCTCTGATGACTCCTATCATTTTTGTCTTAAATTTCAAATATTAGTTCACATTCATCAAATATTTATTAAATTTTATAATAAAATTATTCCCCCAAATCAGTAAGAAATGTTATAGAAAAAAAGGTTTCTGGCTCCACATTCCAGCACCCTCAATCCTGCCCAGACTGTGTATTGCTTGATATGAACCATCTAGGTGTTTTCTACAAATACATACAGATAAAATACTTAGGTATATTCAAATATATTAGCATACATATTTATTGAACTGCTGTGTGTTTTCATTTGGTATTTTATGCAATTTTTCTTTTCTAAAAAACATTATGTCCCAGATCACAATAACTGAAATATCTAGTTTACCAAGAAAATCTGGATAACCTGAGTCAATACAATGAATGACCCCAGAAGAATAGGATTCTGAAGATCAGGCAATGATTAGGATGAAGACAAAGAGCATCAGTTCCATGTTTTCAAAAAACTCAAAAACCCATATAGTACTAATAATCCAAATCAAAATTATCCAGGAAAATTTAAAGGAAACACTTAAGTTGAAAGGAATCCAAATGGAAAATGAACAGAGTACTAATGGTACTAAAGTGTAACACTGTCCTACACAGGCTCTATCAGATCACTCCTCAGCCAAAGCTCAGCAGATACACTGCACTTCTTTCAACCTTGGTCATCTACTCAGTTTTTTTCATAAATCGTCTAGGCCATAG